GGGGGGCCGCGGAGGGAGAAGCTGGTGCGAGAATGAGCGAAGGGAGAAGCCGTGGTGGAGCGAGGAGGAGAAGGGAGAACTTGCATGCGTGGCAGAGGAGAGCGCGGAGAGCTGGTGGAGGAGGAAGGCGAGAAGCGTGGCTGGAGGACGCGGAGAAGAAGCTGGTGGCAGGCAGGGCGACTGTGAAGCTGCCGTGGAGAAGGAGGAAGGGAAGGGAGCAGGTGATGGAGAAGGAGGAGGGGAGCTTCTCCTTTCTCCCCCTCCTCCTCACCAGCCTCCATCTCCTCCTCCTTCTCCCACCTTCCTCCTTCGTCCACCAGCTTCTCCCCTCCTCTCCTCCACCAGCCCTTCTTCCCCTTTCTTCACCAGCTTCTGGCCCTTCTCCACCAGCTTCTCCCTTCTTCCCCTTCTTCATCTCCACAGCTTCTCCCCCTCTCCTTCTTCCATCAAGCTTCTCCCCTCCTCCTTCTCCACACCTTCTCCGTTCTCGCCTTCCTCCCTTCATCCACCATGCTTTCTCCCCTCCTCTTTCCCCACCAGCTTCTCCCCTTCTCACCAGCTGTCTCCCTTCTCCCCTTTCCTCATTTACTCAAACCACTTTCCTCTCCTCCTCCTCACCAGGGCGTTACCTCCCCCTCTTCCCACCACCTTCTCCTTCCTTCCCTTGCTTCCTCCACCAAGCTTCGTCCCTTCTCCTTTCTCCTGCCTCCACCAGCTCCCTTCTCCCCCTCCTCTCCTCCCTCCTTCTCCACCAGCTTCTCCCCCTCTCCCTCCCCCTCCCTTCCCCCTCCCGCCTCCCTACACTGCTCCTTCGCCTACCCTGTACCAGAACTACAAGAGTGCTGACGATGTTGCACTGATACGCCCGAAATAGAGTACCTCCATAAAGAGGACTCTTTATGGAGGTACTCTATCCCGAAACGCCGATAGACAGCGTAGTGCCATCTGGCGGTGGCATTTGCAAGTTAATTTACGACGCTAAACCTGATGTTTACTATTTATCTATGTACAATTTTAGGTGGTGAAAGGTCTCCCGTTCTTACACCCCAGTGAGGTAGCTGTGTTGGATCGAGTGTTGCAACTGGGAGCATGGTATAAATGCTTTAAAGATTTTATAGAAAATTACAAGTTTGCACCTAATGTCAACAAAACTTCAGGTGAGTTCCAAAATACTGGTAATTGAAGGACCAAGCATTTCATGGAATTTGTTTTCAATCTGATGGTACATTTTCTTGTACAATTGTGTCCTATATTATATCCGCTGCTTTAGGTGATAAGGATGCAAGATTTCTACGTGGTTTGTACCTGCAAGCATTTTGTGGTGGCCTGGATGAGGTGCTAGAACCGTATAGGTGCCAGCTGCTGGAACTAGAGAAAGACTTCATGTCAGACCCTCACCTTCCAGTCTCACATGTCCAACAGGCACTGCAGCAAGTAAGGCAATTTTGAAAAGTGTGGAATTTCTTCTCTTGGTAACTTTATATATGGACATAGATCTTTTTCAGACATGAAATAACTGGCGATGTGATAATTGACGTATATGTAGAACAATGGCTTCATATAGTAAGTGACAATTTATAGATATATTAACGTAAAATTTATTTTATATATGTTAATATAAGGTGGTTTACATTGCATATGACACAATTGAGATAACCTGTCACGTGTTAGCATCCTGTTAATAATAAAATTTATTCTCAATGGTTTGTAATGTTTTGAAATATTGTGATTTTTTTCAGTACTACCTACTATTTCCAGCACTTCACGGAGTAATTATGGAAATACGTGCTAAAAAGGTATTGTAATCTCTCAGGGATTCATAGAGAAACTCAATTATTAAATGTCAGATGTCAACAGTTTACATGTGTGATAACATCACTCCTGATAACATAAAATGTAATTTCCTACATATATCATAATAAATTCATAAAACGTGAAATATTACAAACCAGACATTAACCATGGGCTTTTATAATCAAATGTTAGTGAAATTAATTCTTTGTGAAGCTGCTAATATTGATTAAAATATGGAAATGAGGTGTAAATTGTAATAATACAGGTACTTGTAGATTGTTCTAAACTTCTAGTTTCAAGTGTATATAATTTAATTGCCTGCAGGTGCATGGTTGCTGTATACTAGACATTGTCCACAAAAAATCCATTAGTGGGTCAGAACTTGTCAGTTCAAACCTTAAGAGGTGAGTAAATATTAGTTAGACACAGTTTTCACTTTAGGGATTATATACAAAATTAGTTAAAATCAGCACACAAGCTTAAAACAGTTCTATAAATATGATATTGGTATAATGTCTGCGTATCCATGATATTATCACATGCGTTATATTACATGCCTGTTACAGGATACTTCAGGTGTGTCACAGTGTGTTGTATCGGCAGACAACAGCATGGGTATTGCATGGTATTCTCATGGATGAGCAAAAAGAGTTCTTCATACAGGAGCACCAGCCTCCACCATCCAGCATTCAGGTGCTAGCAGAGAATGATTCCACCCACATACTTGTCCACCAGTATTGCCTGTTGGGTTGTTATTCCTTGTTAAATATTGATAACACATTTAGCACGTTTCTCCTAGTGTGCGGTGTACAAAGTGCACCTATTACAAAATACCACTCTACTAACTGGAAATAGTATCTATGGTTTAATTACCTGTAGTCATTATTCAATACATCATTCAGGCAGGACATTTCCCACAGTAAGGATGTGTCCTATAGAGCACATCCAGCCCTTCTCATCCCCCAAGTCTAACACTCTTCCCACTCTTCCTTTCTGTCACTGTTACCACGTAGCCCACAGACAGCACAGATCCATCTCTTCTTCCTCTCTAACACTCTTCCCTGTCTTCCTGTCACTGTTACCACGTAGCCCACAGACAGCACAGATCCATCCCCTCTTCCTCCTCCTCTAACACCTTCTGTCACTGTTACCACGTAGCCCCACAGACAGCACAGATCCATCCCTCTTCCTTCTCCTCTAACACTTTCCTGTTACTGTTACCACGTAACCTACAGTCAGGATGTGTGCTATAGAGCAGATCCAGCCCTTTTTCTCTTCCTCTAACACTCGGCACAACTTACCGTGCAGGCGGAGATCTCTTGCCATTAACTAACTTCAGCAAAAAAGAGGATAAGAGACTGTGGTGGAAACGCCGTAGCACAAGAAAGAAGAGCCTAGTAGCAGGCGGCAACCCCCCAGATGAAAACATGTTATCTCTTCACTAGCCACACATTTAGGGCCCGGCATACCCCAGATAGGCACCACAATTATTATTGATATACCGTGCAGCAAGAGGAAAAAATTACTTTTTGCTTCACGAGCGAGCCTCTTTCAAAGTACTGTGAGCAAAAATAAAGCTCTCAGCAAAAATTATTACCGGAGCCGATTCTCGGAGGTTTAGAGACAGCTCATCCTCATCGCTCCATTTATTTTTTAACACCTAGGCATGCAGGCGGGAGGCTTCGGAAGGACTCAGACGCCGGACAGACAAGCTACGGTGTCTCCCGCGGGGCCACTACTCGTCCTGCGACCACAGAGATGCTGCCTGCCTACATGCCGCTGCGCGTCGCCCGAGAAGATCCTGCTTCAATCGGCGAACGACTCGCCGTGCACAATGTTTGACGGTGACGAGCCGTGAGAATTCCACATACAGGGGAGAACGTAGCGTTGCGCGCTGGCGTTCATCGCCATGACGATCCCCAGAGCAAGGCACAGCACGCACGAGAAGAGAGACGTAGGTGTGCTAAGTTGCGCCTCTGCCACGTGTGCCATCCCAGAATCGGTGGCACGCAAACCGAAGGACAGACGTAGGTATATGCAGTGACCTGGCCCATTCTCTCCGTGGTGATCCCAGAGCGGAGCACGCACAAGGAGAGAGTAGGTGTGTAAGTGGCGCCTTCTAATCCTGGCTGCGATCGCCGAGAGAGGGCACGCACGAGGACAGACGATAGGTTTGCGAATGCTAGCGCTCTTCCCTGTGTTGCATCCCAGAGCGGCACTCGCGAGAGAGACAGGTTTATAAGTCGGCGCCCTCTCGCGTGTGATCCCACGTCGGCTGGCACGCACGAGCCGGACAGAACGTAGGTTTGCGTGTGCCGCCCTCTTCCTTAGTGCGATCCCAGAGCGGGCACGTCACGGAGCGAGCCAGACGTAGGTTTGTACAGTGGCGCCTCTTCCATGTGCGCATCCGCGGAGAGGGCACGCACGAGGACAGACGTAGCTGTTTGCGTCTGGCCGCCCTCTTCCTGTGCGAATCCGCGAGATGAGGCCACGCACGCAGACAGACGTAGGTTTGTGGTTGTGGTGCCTCCGTCTCCTCATTGTGTGATCCCAGAGCGGCACTCGCCGAGGCGAGAGACAGGTTTGTAAGTGGCGCCCTCTCTGCGTGTGATCCCAGTCGGGATGTAGGTTTGCATTTTTTGTTGATCCAAGAAGATGCCAAATGAAGATGCGATATTGACAAGGGTGTGTCCCCATTAAAGGTTAATGCATTATAACAGACAGACAGACAGTTTATGACAGACAGACAGAGGTTCGTACTGACGTGTGTTCCTAGTTATCTGGTGTGTATTGCTTGAATAGCATGTCATCCTAATAATGTGTTTTGTGTTCTTTGTGTGGAAATATCCCATAGCCATGTACTAATGGTTTTTTAATGTTACTACTTTATAAGCCTGATAGTGATATGTTTTTTTTATATCATGTGTGTTATAACCCTTCTTAGCATGAAAAGAAAGTCAAAATTTGCATTGAGAGATATTTCGTTTATGAAGGGACAACCACTGCTGCTTCCATCGCTTTACTTGACTGCTATGCTTGTGTTCAGGAGAAACGGTGGGTGTTTCAGCGTGTATCTCACTACTTTACAGGTGGTCTGCTGACCGTCTTCCGCAGTCAGGAAGACAGTTTTGCTCAACAGCTGCTGCAGCTTCAGCAACAGCCGGAGTTCTCACTCGCTGACTTTGAGGCTGTCATTGGGAAAATCAGAGCATGCATCGCAGAGGTATTGCTATACAAGTTGCTCTGCCTCGTCCCTGTAGCCAACATCTAGGTGTGGGCGTCAGGCAGGTGTCGGAGCAGATGTCTGCTCTATTGACAAATGTAGTCGGCCCATCCTACATTGAGAATTCAGTGAAATCCCACTGTAACGATGCCTGGGTTCAATATGATGAAACGTTTCTCTTTCATGTCTGTATTTACCCACGTCTTGACGTGTCATCTCCCGCGTGGGTGGGTGGTCCTTTGTGTTAAGTAGGTGTGGTGTGTTATACCATCTGGTTGTCTGCTTTTGATGTGGTGGAATTGCACCTCTCACTAATGTATCGTAGTGGTTCGTGAATTATACACGCACACGCATTAGCGGTGTCGGCTGCAGTCTTATATAACTTGAAATCTCGACTAGAAACACTACATTCTCTGTGTGTGCCTCTATATACTCAACTCTTTATCACCTGGGTTTTCCTGCTGCGGTGCTGTGTCTTGCTGTGTAAGTATCACTGGTAATACGATTCCATAGTATGAGCGTAGAGCTATGTGGCAGCTACTTTGTGGCTGATCATAGATCGGACTCTTGCGCGCTGCTTGCTCGCTTCACTGTCTCTCGCGTCTGCTGCTGACATCATCTAGGGCTCTGTTCTCGCCATTTTCTTTCTTTGTTCTGGCTTGAGTCTTATTCATGTGATGGTAGACTTGATTCTCTAAGGTTTTTGCCTTGCATGCGATAACCATGCATGTTTTAAAGTAGAACGGCTTGCTGGTAAGCGTGTACTATGCAAAGTAAATCCTGTGTTTTTTTAAAGCCTGTGGCTTGTTGATAGAAAAATATCATAAATAGTCATGATATCATAATTCTAAAGTGTCTTAAATTTTGTGTCACTACCTGCAACCTGATAAGTTTACAGTCATTTTGCATGTCCTTCCCAGCTAGTAAAGTAATACTTGTACAATCCTCCGCAAGCAGTAATAACGTAGAAACACAGACAGCGTAAGCAGTAATACACTTACAAACCCTTCCCCCCCAGAAAACGTAAGCAGTAATACGCATACAACCCCCTCCCCCCAGAAAACAAGCAGTAATACGCGTACATTCCCCCAGTAAACGCAAGCAGGAAGATTCGTACGATTCCTCACCGCCCACAGGAAACTCGAGCTGTACGTCACTTTAGTGAGCTGTAGACTGTGTGATGGACCAGGGTAAAAAATACATGGGAGCGATGGGCGATTCACTCTTCAAACCTCCGAAATCGCTCTCGTGATGCTCAAAGTTTTTGACGAGAGCTATTTGTTCCACAGACACTGGACTTGAAAAAGAGCTCCTGTGAAAAAAAAGTTATTTTTCCCCTGTGATGGACGCGCTGTGTGACTGTGTGTGTGTCTCTCTCGGCAGCGGCTGTGGAAGCTCGTCGTGGAGGAGGCCGACCTGCTCACGCACATCCAGCTGGTGAAGAACATGTACCTGATGGGTCGAGGCGAGCTGTTCCACGCGTTCATCGACACCGCCGACAACCTGCTGCGGGCGCCACCTAGCCACACGACCGAACACGGTACGCGCCGCGAGCCGACGACGCAAGCTCAAAACGCGTTGAAGCATTGTCGGACTTTTCGGCGACCAAGTTCGCTGCTTCAGCGTGGTGGTGCTTGTCGTTCGAGCTGCTTGGTAGTTAAGTCTCCGCCATTCCAGTCTATTATTCAAACCGCTTATACGTCAAACACTAACACGGTGTCCATGTGACCATTTTGGGAAAGTTAGAAACGTGAGCTTTTCCGAAGTAAGTAGCCAGCTGGCTACGTTATTACACGGTGACACGCTTTTGGTCAGTAGCCGTCTGCTATATGGTCCAGCCACAAACTGGGGTTACTGAGCATGTACATTGGAAATACAAAACTGACTTATTAATATTAGTGAAGTGAGAGGATCTTGTACGGGTGGGATCGAGCGCATCTCTATCCTGTCTGTGGCAGTTTGCTCATCAAGTTGACTAGGACAGTTCGAACACGTATACCTGCAAATGTTTGTTATTATGTGATGTTTTAAAAAATCATTCTAAATTAGGAAACAGTTGATTCTTGTATGCAATTTATATACAGATATTCTACATTGTATGGTGCTGGTACCTACTTGATGTTGACTGATTACTAATGGAAGCTCATATTTCGAGAGTGAAACTGGTATACACAGTATTGATGCATTTATATTTTGCTTAGGCCCCATTGTTAGAAACAAAAAGTGGTGACATCATGATTCAAAGTTGTCATGAAAAAGTTGTGATATTTTCTAGAGTCGTAGGCATAACTATTTATGTTTCTGGTGATGGACCCCTGTTTTCTAACCCTTAAAGGGCCCAGGCTAGCAACAGATGAATATTTATATGATTGGCCATTTGTTGGCAGATGTGAACATGGTGTTCCAGCAGGTAGCACGGAACATCGTCATGGGCGATGACTCCTTCCTAGATGCCTTCTATCTCACAGTGCCTGCACCTGATAACAAGCGTAAGCAGATAAGCGTAAGAAGCGCAATAATATTATGGACTAGCAGTTGACGGCACCTTGTGCAATGCATGAAAATGGTCACCAGTCAGTGTTTATCCAAAATGGCAAGGGTTACAAGGTGACAATACACGTCTTGGTCCTCACGTGCCTGATGGCAGCACCTGTAGTGGCAGTTGTTATTGCATGTTGGGGGTGCCAATACATTAAGGTTCAATATATTGCTGTTCATTATTGTTTTTCACTGCTTAGGCCAGGACGATGCAGGTGGAACTGAGACTGGGTGGAGCAGGCTGGGCCTTGTCTATACAGTAGATTGGCCTCTACACATATTGTTTAGCAAACCTGTGCTAGACAAGTAAGTTTCTCCTTAAGGAATGAAGCTTGCCATTAAAAATTTATGTTTGCCTACTCGTATAGTGAAGATAATATTTTATCTTGGATGAATTTCTAATGAATGAGAAGTTAGTAACTAATTCACAAACAGACATCACTTAAGCCTAGATAGTGGTTACTGGTTCTCGTTAACACTGCAGATACAACAAGGTATTTAAGTACCTGATGTCGGTGCAGAGAGCCCACATCAGCCTGAATAGCTGCTGGGCGATGCAGAAGCAACAGAAGCATCATAAGTGTCCTGGTATCCTAGCAACCGCATCATGGCAGATGCACAACCACATGTCTTTTCTGGTGAACAATCTTCAGTATTATTTGATGGTGAGATTGATGTTATTCAGGTTAAGTATGTCTTCATTCTCCATAATTCTTTTACATTAAATTCCTACTGAAAAGTAAACGTGGTTATGAAATGTGTTCTCATTGTTATTCGTGACTAATGTAGTGATCTTCCTATTTGCTTTTACCCTCAAGGTTGATGTTTTAGAAACACAGTTTGCAACACTCGTTAGCAAGATTCAGTCGACGAAAGACTTTGAAGCCATCCGACTCGCTCATGACTCATTTCTCACCAGTATTCAAGCACAGTGCTTTCTGCTACTAAAGCCAGTATGTGGTCAACTTTCAATGATCTAATTATAACTTCATTCCTGGCGTTACGATTGTTTCTTTGTTTAACAAGTCAAACAAAAATGAGAAACGCTATCGGCACATAACTTTTATCAAACTAAACATGCTTTATGTATGTACATGGCTCGTCCTCTCTATGTGCGTTATATTGGTTATGATTCTGTTCTGTAGGTGTCCTACTGTATTGGTGAAATATTGAATCTCTGCCAATCATTCTGTACTCTGACTATGAGCAGTGCTGTCCCACCAACACAGAGAGAGCATGACCAGCTGAACAACATCTCACAGGTAAGAAACAGATCTTATATGTTTCTAGATGTACATGTTAGAAAAATCAGTGCATATACTCAACTGGTTAAATGTCACATTTTCAGCTGAGATTTAGTTTTGAAAATGAGTTGTGATATTCTGTTTAGCAAATATCTCAGAGCATTATAGGGGATTAGTACAAAATCTAACCTAACAGTGGTTATAGGTCATTAGTTTAGTGATGAGAATTATTATAGTAAAATTTAATGTTATATTTTGCTAAGCAAATATATTATAACGTTATGAGTGATTGATTACAACTCACACGTGTGACCATGAAAAAATTGTAGTTATGCAATATCTAACAAAACAAATCATGCTTTAGTTAGTGTATGCATTATGCTTACAGTTCTACTCTAGTGGTGATTACATCATAGTTTATTCATTGTTTTTCTCCAATTTCAGGCATTTGGAAGGCAAACATCTCTATTGTTTAAGATCTTGTCACGTGTACGAAACCATCAGTCCAGCCCACATCTAGCACAGTTTCTCATGAGAATTGACTTCAATAAATTTTTCACAGGCTCTGGTGGGCAGCTAGGAAGGTAAAAGACTTCAGTATATTTTCCACATGCAAAAGAGCTAGTCTTATTGTGTAAGATATCTGGATTGAGCATTTTCACTCAGACGTTTGTACAGTTTCATAAGATTCATATGCTTGACTTCAGTGCTCAGGTGAACCCAAGGTCAACCGAAGGGCGATCTAAAATTAAGAGCATTGGTGGCCTATAATCGTCAATGAAGTGAAAGAGGTTACCTGGAAGGAACAAACAGGTGAACAAATGCAGGGCAATTTACTGTTGCTGCTGTTACTGTTGTTGCAGCACTGCTCTTGCTCCATTGCTGTACTTATTTTAAAATGGTGTGAATTAATGCTATATTAGCATGTTTACTGTAGAGATAATGTAAATATAATTTACTTCTTTGTTGTCTGCTATTAAATGTAATATACCAGGACCAGAGAAATCTAGAAAGCTTAGATTTTTAAATAAATGCATAAAATTAGATGCCTTTAAAATGTACTTTAAAACAACAATATTTTAATCCATAATTTTCATAACAAACATATTAATAAGCCATTCACAATTGTTAATTTCCACAACTGCATACTCATGACCAACTACAAGTATACAAAACAAGATTTTTATCATTTAAATACCTTTATAAAAGTGTATAATGACAACTTGAGTACTTCTCTTCAGCATACAGTTTGCATGCTCGTGACAATGGTAATAATTGTGATTACCCCCCCCCTCCACAAGATTTTGTTGCTATGACAATTATCCACATCTTTTAGTAACATCAATTTGTGGAGAAAACTCTGTTCATACTAAATGTATATTGTTACATGTTTAACTAAAACAGGATATTCAATTTGCCAGTCATTATGCTTGGCTATTGCTCAGCTGTCTTCTTTGTTTATAAGAGGATATTTACTTTGTACAATTAAACAAATGTCTAAGCTTACCATGCCAAATTTTTTACATCTGCCTATTACAATGGGAAAAATAAAAAGGCTTTTCATTAATAAATTCAGCTATCAGAGGTTTTTATATCTTGTATATCTGATGAACTGACCACATTTTGTAATTGTTGGTTTTCAAAAGCCATTGGGCATTAGTAGTTTTAAGTCGGCACGTTCTAAGTTTAGTATATGAAGGCATGTTGAAAGAAAAGCAAGGCGCTGAACAATGTGTTAAAGAGTCACACTGCCTATTGACTTTGTGCCAGAGCAGCAAAACTCCCATTTTCTGTATTGTATACAGGTATAGTTATAGCGAGTGGCTGTTGATATTCTACCATTACCACCTTAATAACCTCTTCAGGAAAGATTGATTTGAATTTTCACTTGAGCTCCAATGGTTTTCCTGCAGAGGTGGCTTTGGACCAAAGAATTTCGAATACAGTGTGTCTGCCTCTTGGTCCTTTAAGGGAGCACTGGGCATCAGGGGTTCCATCTTTGGTAGATATTCAGGCCTCCATATTGGAATTCTTTGTGGGATTTCCGGTGCTACCTGAGGATGCATCCATGCTTCGCCAAACTCTGAGAGACGATCTGTAAAGAAAAAACGTGTTTGTTAGTTGAGCAACAAATCTTTTTCTAGCATAGCAATAAAAATCATTGAGGATAACGCGCAACTATTGTATTGTAAAGAACCTGGTTTTATATTGGGTACATCACCTCTGGTATCTGAATCTCCTTTCTTGTCTTCATGGGTAGTAACACTGCAGGACCCATCGCCTAGTGTCTGTGTGGTGACAGTCTCTTCATTGCCCTCTCCATCCCGTACTGTTCTTGTCTCTTCAATCCTCTACAGTAAGCGGTGCAAAATTAATATGTTAATTACTTGTGAAGCAGTTTCCAGATAAAAGAAATAATAATTGCAGATATGCCACTTCTAGATAAACACATTCCATCTATGGAGTCTAGTACAAACCATGTACAGGAATATGGTTGTATACACGTTCCCAGATTTACTCCATTTACTAGCAAAGACAGGGTAAGGTTACACAGAGCCACAAACCCACCATGGAGCTTAGTGTAAATCGTTCAGATAATATTCAAAACACAACAGAATTATTTCCACTGTCTTACTCCATCCGGTCCACGTTTCCTGATGATCTTTACACTGCGGAAGTATTGATTCTGCCGCGGTTGGCTGCAAGAGGGAGATTTCACCGTGCCAGAACTCTTTAAGATGCTGTCAAGGTTGCCCTCAGACACCTTGTCATCGATATCTGGAAAGCGCCATCTGTGAGTCATAGAACTATAATTACCCTATTAAGGGTGACATACAATCACTCAACTACAAACATTAAAATGTCCACAATTTTACATAAAATAGTATACATAAAGTAGAGTATCAACTAATCACAGGTCAATAGTCCCTAATATAGCATATAGCAATAGTCTACATTTTCAACGCTGTATTTACAACAAGACTGACCTGTATCAATTTTCAACTGTGGTTTCGTAGGGCCTGGTAAGCTGCCCCACTTGTCACTAAACTGGAAAAAATATTTACTGAAATTAGCATTTCAAAACAAATAGGGGGCCTACTGTTGATACAAAACAATGACATTTGTTTGGTGTGTCATGCTGCCTTATCGCCTCTGTTGAATCAAAGCTTTCCTTTTTATACAACATGTCAAGCCAAAGCACATACTATCTATATCTATAGAATGAGAAGCACGGAATGCAATTTAGTTGTATGTTTTGAACTTCGAACTGCTTTTCATACATATCATATATATCATATAACTACAGGGCAGAGAATGTCTATCAGGCAGTAATTCGTACAGGAAGAGATGCTTACTCGAGGAGGCACCTTATCGCAGTGAGTACATAAGGCCTAAGAAAAAAAGTTGTTTGTTTCCCCTAACGAGCTGAAAAAAATTGGAAAATGTAGGCAGGCAAAACTTTTTTATCAAAATATTTTTTTTGTATTCTAACAATACTTGTTTTATACTTATAACAGCCCATATAATGACAAAGTCAAATCAATGCATTCACCGATCGATATCACGTTGGGATTTTTATATTTAAATTTATTTTTTTTGTCCTTGATTACAATAAAGTTTCGACACGGGGGTTTAAAATAGACTCGGCCGGGTTAGTGAAAACAAACGTCTTTTTTTAGGCCTAACCATTATATCCCTACACATCTTAGCAAATCTAAGTCTATGGGAATTTTACGATGAGTCTATTCCAGCGTCGAAGCAAGGATCAGTAATGCAATGAAAGTTATGCTGCAACAAGAGACATATCACAGATGTTCAACAAACTACTGTATACGCCATATTTTTCGCATACAGATATTTTCGCGAGTGGTTAATTTCGCGGTCAGCGAATTATGAATTATTTGGTATTATTCGATATAAATTGTTGTTATTTTCGCGGTCGGGGACGCGTTTCGCGAAATTCGCGAAAATTAAACCACCGCGAAATATACAGCGTATACAGTATATTGATAAAAGTATTTCTAAATAATAGTATACAGGTATAGGTTACACAGAGAGATATTAAAACATGCAGTAATGTATAGAAGATTGGGGGCGCAAGGCCACATATGGAAGCAAATTGCAGTACAACATGCTTACACCAGCTACTCAAGGGAAATGACAGACATGGCCCTCATGGTCGAGCGACCAGTTCATAGAGGTAGCTTTTAAGACAAGTTTGATTATATTTCCAAAGACATAATGTAATAAGCCTCTTAATAGTTAAGTAGTCAGAAAAAGTGACCATCACACTGTTATGAGACGTATGACTGCAACACTATATTTAAACAATGAGAAAATTTTCTATTAAACTAGAATTGGCTTTGAATATTTGTTTGATAAATAAATATAGCAATTTCTTCCATTAACACTGTGCCGACATTTATCATAGCAGACATTAGTCTTACATTCACTGAACTGAAATAATAGTGCCTGCAAACACAGTGTTTTAAATAAATTACAAAACCTCACCCACTATCCAATCATGTAAAATGACAATACTAAAATGGAAACATACAGCGAATGGCATAACTCGGACAGTTTCATGGCTAGGTCCATCCGGCACTTTCAGCATGCTATCCCTTGGGGCTTGGCCCTCACTGCCATCACTTCCTGGGATAGCCCATACAGGTGGGTGGAAGGAAGGAACCTCTAAAAAAATGTTTAACTTTAAATATGCACTTTACAACATACACAATGCAAACAGAACTGGCACATTGAGTAATGCATTGATTACTTAACTACTGTGTAAAACAATCAAAATACACACCACACATTCCTTTGTTAAAAGTTTAACATTTGCACTGCTTGCAGTAATTTGGTTCATCAAATTTTTCTGTTTTGCCAGGTCACTTACAAAGTGATACAATTATCATGGCCCTACCATGTCGTATGGGTGGAAATTCTGCAAGACCCAGGTTCCTAAATATGTCCTCAAAGTGGCGAAACATTTCTTGTGCTTCTGTAAAAAAGTGCATGTGACTGTGGGGTCCAAATTCCTGCTCGTTTTCATGGAAGCCAAACGGCTGGTTGAAGTCACCTAAGCCATCCATGATATCCCCAGTCAAATCAAACTCATCTTCATCACCAAAAATATCATCATCACTTGTCCTGTGATAAAAATACAATCACCATGCATACGTTAGAAAAATGGCAAAACAATCACTGATCAACCCAGCAAAATTTCGAGTTCATTCTGTAAATGCCTTCCTCTTCACAATTGCCCTCCTGTGTGAAACATCGTGAGACTGTTCTACATTGAGATATGGCGTATGCAATCCAATGTTTGCCAGTGCTACATATGTTATCATTTCTATGTGGCACTGATCAAATTATCTCATTTCTTTAATCAAATTTAACTGAATCTTGTACATAGTCATTGGGCCTGTTAACAGGAATTTTAATACAAATTTGGGAGTTGGAAAGTTGCACCACCTGCAGAAACACCTGAGTCGGAGCTGAATGAAAATGCTGAATTTGACAAATCTCAGCAGCAACTTGGATACCATAGGGATATAGGCCCAAGCAGAGATTGCTACCGTTATATATAGATATCGTGAGAGTGTTGGGGAAAACTTGATCCCACTGCCAATGGCAAAAAGTGGATTGAGAGAGGGGGAAAACAAGTTGAGCCAGAACAATATCTGTCAGTTAGATCATGATCTGCACTGTCATTGCATGTCATTCTAGAATTCACAAGCACTTGGAACGTCTCAATAAAAAAAGTATGGTAAATAAACACGAACTGTATTTACATACCGTACCAAAGTCTAAATGTTTCGCTACTCTCTTTCGCTTATTATTGCCGATTTCCTGTAATTGCCGTTCAAATGCTCCTCTGCAACACACAAGCACACCGCATGCACGCTGCTGTGCACAAACAAAATGAATAAACAGAAGAGAACAAATAAGAGAAAGAATAAAAAGAAGATACTCTCTTTATTCTTGTTGTTTGTGGCAGTTCTTGGCACAGCATTGTGTTAAATTGTGCACAGCAGCGTACCATGTGAGGTGTACAGTACACTGTACAGTACGCCGTACGGGGTCATGTCAGAGACAGAGGAGCACAGGAAATTACGATTATCGCCAATAAGATAGTAGAGAAACATTAAGACTTTGGTAGTACATACATTTCGTGTTTATTTACCGTAATTTTTTATTGAGACGTTCCAAGTGCCGAAGTGGCTCACTAGCTCAGTTCCAGGGCAGTGGCTGTGCATGCTGTCACTGCTGATGACTGATGAGTTATAAATATAATTTTAAGGACGTGTAATCAAATAATGTCTAGTAAATTATAAAGTGACATTACCTGTAGTGCCTATCTCTTTCACGTGGAAAGCCAAATAATCCTTTAAATATGTCGTTTGCATTCATGTTGCGTAAAACTACAAAGGCGAAAAATATGAAAGTGATAGATAGATATGTCTGACGCAACTATTGTTTACAGCGGAAGTGACTAAGAACGATGCACTCTTGTTATTTATGTTGTTTCCGTGTTATCGTTGTCGAATGCCGATGTGTTGCTGCAGTTGTAGAACTTTTCAAATAATTTAATAAGTTGTGTTTTCTTTCATGTTTTGAGTAATCTGCGTATATCAGCCATGATGTCAAAAGATAATCGAGACTTTATAACGTTGTCTATTACTGGCGAGGATGCTGACAAATATAAGACGAAGCAGTCCATCTGGCGGGTACTAAAAATATCATATTCATACTCATAGATACCGTAATCATAGCCCGACCAGGCTGTGCGACGGATTGTCTATACATTGGATATCTATTGTATATACATTGGATCCAGGCTGTGCGACGGATTGTCTCTACATAGGATTGTCTATACTATAGGGGTATTCTAACCCTAGCAATACCGTTTCTTGGAGCTACCGTAATCATAGATACAATAATGTAACCCAAACCCAAGAGGATAGGGTTACAAAGTGTCCCTATCCTTTTCTGCGGAGGAATGCCCGAGTAAATCACTCGGGCCGGTTTGCTGGTGCGTTTTCAGATACTAGAACTTCCAAACTGGGTTTATTCTAAACACGAACCTTGCTCCGCTATCCGGGAACTTACAATGTATCGCAATACTCTGTATTAAACTAATATAACCTGTTACAAAAATTCGAAGTGACGAGCGGCGAATATACTGAGCGCCATTTCTGTTGACCTGTGACGTACGCATTTCCCAATGCGCATAGCGATCGGCAAACGCAGCGCCCTCCGATTGGTCGGTGAATCCACTCTTCAAACCGAAGTACGTCACAGGTCAACAGAAATGGCGCTCAGTATATTCGCCGCTCGTCACTTCGAATTTTTGTAACAGGTTATATTAGTTTAATACAGAGTATTGCGATACATTGTAAGTTCCCGAATAGCGGAGAAAGGTTCGTGTTTAGAATAAACCCAGTTTGGAAGTTCTAGTATCTGAAAACGCACCAGCAAACCGGCCCGAGTGATTCACTCGGGCATTCCTCCGCAGAAAAGAATAGGGACACTTTGTAACCCTATCCTCTTGGGTTTGGGTTACATTATTGTATCTACCGTAATCATAGCTCTAGTAACTATAGTACCTGCGGGCCGCCTGCGGCAACTGTACGCGGGCTATAGTACTAGAGCTAAGATAATCATATTATCATATGAAATAGACCTAAGAGTAAGAGAGTAAGACTAAAGCTATGTCTCCACGCACGCGGCACGACACGACACGACATGCAAGCAAAACGCAGCGACGTTGTGCTGCCAAAAAAATTGTGATTTCGCGCATTGTGTTCATTCTGGTTCAGTGATCAGAAATTGTGCATGTGCTTGTTGTCCATTGCCATTGGCTGATGGTGGCGTGAGCAGAACAATCGCGTTGATTGGTTCAACTGTCTTTCACCGTACACTGCGTCTGCAGCCGGCAAAAGTCAAACTCATCTGACTTTCGCCGTCGCCATGAAACCGGGCTGGCGCCGTGCCGTGTCAGTGGAGACTGCGCTATAAGATATAATAGATTTGAACTTTGCCGGTAGGGGTGAACGACGCCGTTTCCCGCGCCGCGTGTGTGGAGACCGGCCTTAAGCCGGCTAGCTTGGTATTTGCCGTTCACAGAAATGCGGCTAAACAGAGGAATTGCTCCGACCTGTGATTGGAAGATAAAAATAGAATTCGTTACGTTTCTCAAGTCTGTCAATATATGACATGCATACAACTCGATTGATAACAAAAAACTTAGTCTAAGCTAAGTCAAAGACTACAAACACGGTAACCATCCCCTCCCATTTGAGCTAATCAGAGGTTGAAGCAATTTCTATGTTTAGTGATGTTGCCAGTCAGCGGCTAAACTGTAAACAGTGGAATTGCTCGGAATACAGCACGAACTCTATTTGAACAAGAAACTCTTCGCGAAAGTTAGCAAATATTCGGAGAATCCTCTATAAAGAGTGTAAACGTTGTAATCTTTTGAAAATAAACTATCATGTAAATAGAGTCAGTGAGATATCTAATACTGACAGTCTTGAGAAACGTTACGAATTCTATTTTTATCTTCCAATCACAGGTCGGAGCAATTCCTCTGTTTAGCTGCATGCGTTCACAGGCTTGGACCTGCTGATATTGCTCTGTGGTATTATATGTATTTTCATACCGACTGTGCCAACCGGCTAGTTGTGAAGTACAGAAATATTTAAGTTTTCTTCTATTGTATAAATGCATTCGGAGATTGGCAACCCGAGATCCGGAGCAGAGGTTCGCCAAAGTTAAACACTTACTTTACCATCAAACTGGCTGCTGTCACAAAATAGATATTGCTGTGGGTGGTACGCACGCTGGGATGTCTCTGTGTCATTTGTCTGATAATACTCTCTATATTACTATTAGTTTCATAAGTTACAGTCATTGGTCATGACAACTATCTATCTACATCATGATTTGTCTTCATACTTAGTGAGTGGGTCTTCTTCATGTACGTTTCTATTCTATTTCAGGTGTGGAATCGGTTATCAAGGTTGCAAAAAAATGTATTATCTGTATTTCTAGTAGTTGTGCTGGTTACAGTTGCTGTCATCATACTTCACACAGGTATTTTTTCATTAAAAAGTTATTGTTATCAATGTAAGTAGCTTCAGGATTTCTATTAATAACTGTAAACTGCTTTTGTAATTCAGTAATTTATTTTTTATATCATAGCTGAGGAATGGTTTTTGTAAATATGCACCACTAAAAGTTAGATTTGTTTCATATGAAAAATCTTTTTTTTTCAAATGCAAGTTGAATAGAGATTTTGTCAACCATATGCCATCTCAATTTCATGGAATATATTGTAGCTAGCCTATCATTGTTTTAGAGTATTTTTAAAGTTTAGTTAATTGTGGGTGTGTTTCAATATAGGTTGCTTTCTCTACCCATCTTTGTAAATTGGGGTACTTTACTAACTACTACTTACTACTTACTACTTTAATTGTAACTTTACTAACTTTCCTTATCAGGATTAACACCAGTATCGTGTTGGTCCTCTGGCAACCCTATCTGTCAAAATGTAAATGTGAATGATGAGCTTTAAATTTCATTCTATGCTTTGTGTTTTAATATGTACCCCAGTTTTCCTTTTGCCTGTTGTAAAATGAGAGTCATATATTAATGATTATCCTGATCCGTTTATCAGAATACAGGTATATTGGGTGTATTTTTGTAGATCGGGGGTCATTGGACATCCGTGAGAAAGATATAAGTGACGATGATCGCTACGTTCAGCTACATAGGAGGAACAAAGTTGAGGCAATCAATGATTTTGTGGTAATTATTTAGTAATTGTACTAAGTACGAAGTATGACTATGTAAAACAAGGTGTTTCAGTTCCAAAAGTGGCAGAGAGTGAACTTTGTATTTGTGGTATTATTACTTGTGCAGAAAGGAATGGGCTAAATGCATCTCACAATTGGTTTATTGAGAAATGGATAATAACTGTAAAAAGTAATAGTTTGACTGTTTTATAAATAACAAAGGAGTATGTGCAGTAAAGATATTTTTACTTTCAATGTCCAGTCTAGAATATAACCTGCAATTAAACAATTGGAGAAAAAACTCATGAGCACGGCTATTATTTTTAGAATGAACGAAAAAAGCAACAGGAATCTTTGAATATGGAACATAAGGATAGTGTGCTGGAGAAGCCACCAGAGAAATCACATGCCGACAGTCTCATCCAAGAATCGGTAGCAGTCGAAAAAGTAGTGCAGCACCCAGAGCCACCGATAGGTTCTAATGGTGATAATGGTGTAAATGGTGTACAGGGAAACGTGGCTGATGTAAATAATGAGGTGAGTGTTAAACAATACACAGCCGAATACGTGACGAAAAAATATGTAAATAAATTATGACTTACATACATAGAGTATGCATACAGTATGTATGTATATATATATATATATATATATATATATATATATATATATAGATATATATATATATATAAGAGAGAGAGAGAGAGAGAGAGAGAGAGAGAGAGAGAGACGAGAGAGAGAGAGAGAGAGAGAGAGAGAGAGAATGAGAGAGATTGTATGCCGTGGAAATGTGCATGTGTTCTCATTTTCCCGTAAAATCTCATCTGAAGCTGTTTCACAGGCATAATAATGTTATATACAGATACGTCTAACACGCTGATGAGTTGTCATTTGGGATTTATGTTTTGTAAATGTATTCTGAAATGTCTGTTGTGGTAATATATTCGTTCTTCTTGTTGTAATCGGTATGTAGGGTCCTGGGAAAAATAATAATCACATATCGGCAGTAAGACCAAAAGATATCGAAGATATCCTTCATCACGATGATGGAATACCAATGGAATTCATGGGTGTGTTTGCCAAAATTGAACTGCAGCTTTTCACAAAATTGTGTTCTATCCTATTTTTTATAACAGTGTCCTCTGTGTGCAATGTAGTATATCTAAGGTCATTTTTCTTTGAGCGTTTGCTTTATAATCATTTACTATTGAATTTGCAGAGGTTTCACTGAGGGTAATCGTTTCCGACTTCTGTGGAATTCAGGTGCGCAGAACGAACGACAGAAAGCTGTCACAGCGGCCTTCCAGCACGCGTGGACGGCATATAAGAAGTATGCATGGGGATATGACCAGCTGAAACCAGTTACAAGAAGCCACCATGAGTGGTTTGGTCTGGGCCTCACCATCATTGATGCCCTGGATACAATGTACATTATGGATCTGAAAGAAGGTGAGTTTGATTCTTGCAAACTATTTAACAATAGCTTCACACATAGGTGGTAGCATGCGGTGGCTTCATCATATTGGAAGCTTACTAATACTATTTATTTGATTTGGAAATAATTACAGTGCTCAGTTAGTGTCCTGTAGTTGCTGTAGGAAGTGTGTAAACTTCACCATGTACTGGTCATCTCGCTGCACATTTTCTCATCCTATCTGATGATTACGAAGTGTATCCTTTACCCCGGGCATCGCCGTGTAGCCCAGCTAGTTAACTATAAGTCTATAACCAACATTGAAGTTTTATTTCCTTTACCATATGTTTTAGCTCTCAGGATCTCTTACAGTGCCATGCTACTATGTCTTTTTAGTAATATGTAGAGATGCATACTGTACTGGAAAAGTAGATAGTATTGTGTCATTACATGAGATGGCAAAGCACAGCAACTTTCATAGGAAGGTCTAGGGACAGGGTCCTCCTGAAAACTATTGAAAATAAACGATCAAGTGAGACATTATACAGTTATAGTCGGCTCTAGCAACACATTGCCAATTGAAATGCTGATGACTGAGGTTATACTGCGACATGTAGTGATGTCTATTTAATCGCGATGCGTGTGTGCTTCCGGCACATCTACGCCCCATGTTTTACCTATATGGCTGTGCAGAGTTCAAGGAGGGTCGTGACTGGGTGGAGCAGAAGCTGAATCTGTCACAGAACAAGGATGTCAACCTGTTTGAGGTGACGATACGCGTGCTCGGTGGACTGCTCAGCACCTACCACCTCTCGCAAGACCGAATGTTCCTCGATAGAGCCGTAAGTCGCTCGCCCCACATCTACGCGTATGCTCATAACAGAAACGGAAGCAATAGGTCCACAGGAACCACGGCTCGTGCATGTGTCACTTTCGATCTCAGTTTGTGTCTTCTGTTCATTTTTACATTGGTACTTCATTTAACTCATTCTGTGTTTATCTTGTTCATCATGGTTAAGCTTCAAGATAGCTGTTTTCTTAACCGATATCATCTACAATGTACGATATCATGCGTCCAATGTAACATGACCATGCCTGCTAAAGCTTCAAGATGCCCTGTTTCCTCTATCCTTCTCCCCCGTGATCATATTCTGCACGACAATGCACGCGTGCGTTGACCACGTGTTGTCAAGCTCCGGCGTTGTTCTTGCAGAAAGAGCTGGGAGACAAGCTGATGCCGGCGTTCACGAGCGAGTCGGGAGTGCCGTTCTCGGACGTTAACCTCTACTACCGGCAGGGAAAGCCGCCTAAGTGGGGTCCCGACAGCACTGTGTCAGAAGTCGCCACCATTCAGCTCGAGTTCCGTGACCTCAGTCGTGCTACTGGTGACCCCAAATACGAGGTCAGACTTCGGCGGGGCACTGAACACTATTTGCGCTCGTGTGAATGAATTTCGCCGCGTCGTCCTGCATGAGGGTCTCACACAAGGATTCGTGAATTTCTGCACGCAGTTAAATTGCATCGCAAACCCACCTGTTCCGACATTACTCACCATCCTGCACGTCTAGAATCCATTTACAATCATCATCATCATGTGCGCGTCATTTCGGTCAATTTAACATCAACTCGTGTCTCGGAATAGTAATTGTAATAAGTACGAGCGGATTGCACTTAGAGGGCCATCGTCTATCTCGCGCTGCGTCGCGCATGTCGTACGCGATGTCTCTCTCACGCGGCGGTGCGTCTGCGCCAGGGGAATTTTTTTCACGGGAGCTCTTTTTCCATAATCTGTGGGAAAATAGTTCTTGTCAAAAATTTTACGGGAGCTGTTTTGAGCCTCATGGGAGCGATTTCAGAGGTTTGAAGAGCGAATCGCTCATCGCTCCCGTGTATTTCTTACCCTGGTCTGCGGTGCAGGAAGCTGCCTGGGCGGTGTCGCAGAAGCTGCACAATACGCCCAAGTTCCTCGGCCTCGTGCCGATGTTCATCAACGCGCAGACGGGTCAGTTCCGCAGTGCGACGACCTTGACCTTGGGAGCCCGAGCGGACAGCTACTACGAGTACCTGCTGAAACAGTGGCTGCAGACGGGAAGGAAGATCGACTGGTACGTAGTACTGATGGCTGTTTGCCTCGAAGGTAGAAGGAGGGAAGTGCCGTGCGGGGTGACTGGAAAGGAGGTAGCCTGATGTAGGTGTGCATGGAAAAAATTCGATCTAGAGATGGAATTCCATCTTTTTGGTAGCCCCAGAGGTCATTTTTGAGTGTAAATTCGTTAAGGAAGATTTGGGGGGAGTGGGTGGGAGGTAATAATACCAAAATCACAGATGGGACTGGGAGTCTCTTGTCCACTATTTCCCCAGAGTTATTCGTGGATATTTTTTTATTCAATTAGCTCAATGTAGCATTTTCTTCCCTTTTCGGGTTATAATACATGATATAAATTGAAGATTTTTACCAGAAAATTGCCTCGAATGCATTTCAGAGAATCTAGATCTCCTAGAGTTTTCGGAGTCTTTGGTGGGTCATGAACTTTCCCCTTCCCCCACACCACCTAACAGGCTACATCTTGCTGTGCTCGACACGCTTCACTTCGCTTGAAAAATGTTGACCTTTTTAATTAAATGCTAGTTTTATCCCTGTTTATGTATGCCGCAGTTTGGTCTGTTTCAACATCAGGTTATCTGAACAGTGGTAATGATATCGAGTAATGTTTCCTTGCAACTCTTGCTCTGCATGAAGGCTGAAGGATGACTTTATGGAGGCAGTAGAAGGAATCAAGAAGCACATGTGGAAGAAATCCGCATCTAACAACCTCAGCTTCATCGGAGAGCTGCTGCGAGGAACCAGCTTCAGCCCGAAAATGGTATCGCATTGTCCATGTCACATAGCTAGCCAGATAGGTCCATGAATAGTTAAGAATGCATGATAACCTGTGATATTGCATCGTTCACATTGTGTAGTTAGCAGGATAGGTCCATGAATAGTTCAGAATGCATGATAACCTATGATATTGCATCGTTCACGTTACGTAGTTGGCAGGATAGGTCCATGAATCGTTTAGAATGCATGATAACCTGTGGTATTGCATGGTCCATGTTACGTACAGTGGAAGTCCAAAAATCCATACTGCTTGGATTTCGGATTTTCCGGATTCTCAGGCAGTACTTTTAAAATGCAAATTTAAGGAGGAATAAAGAAGAGTTGAACAATTAAATTTTGCTAGTTTATTCATTAGCAAATACAGCATGCTTCATTTATTAAAACCAGAGATGCCAACCACTACGATTTATCCGTATTTTATACGAATTTCTATTTCTTTGCACCACTACGACCAGTTTGTATCAAACTACGAATTTCACTGTGATCGGAAAAAAAATATTATTTTTGGTCCGTCAGTCTATAATACGCAGGGGAAAAAATACACGGGGGCGGCAGGCGATTTTGCCCCGAAATGCCAAAAAGAGCTCCATCGGGGGCGACCCCAAAAGAAAAAGTCGCCCTGGAAATCGATTGTCCAGGTCGGTCCTGCGCCTTGCCGCTCTCGCTCGGCGTTGCTGCGCTACGATGCCTAGGCCTCTGCCGCTAGCGGCAGCCGGTTCCACGGCGCGGTAGAATTCATGGTACGGTGTGACTGTCAAGTGTTTACCATATTTTAAGCATGCATGTGTGTACTGTACTGTATTGCATTCAATCAAGCGCGCGCCGCCTCCCGCGCGTATATACGTGTGTGCCTGTGCGCGTGCTTGCGTGTGTGCCTGCGCGCGTGCGTGTGTGCGTGCCGGTGTGCCTGCGGGCGTGCTTGCGCGTGTGCCTGCGTGCGTGCGTGCGTGCGTGCCTGTGTGTGCCGGTGTGCCTGCGGGCGTGCTTGCGTGTGTGCCTGCGCGCGTGCATGTGTGCGCGTGCTTGCGCGTGTGCCTGCGCGCGTGCGTGCCTGCATGCGCGCGTGCGTGCGTGCGTGTGACCAACGACCCGTAGGATTATAGAACGCTAATCCATGGAAAATCCTAATGAAATTCACACGTATATTTTTCCCTGCCGGCACACTCGTGTGTCATTCCCGATTGTAGCTTTTTCGTCAATTCCCCGACGCTGTTGCTCTCTCATAGTCCAGCAATGCCAACCCTCTACATTTTAGTAGTGATTAGTACCACGCTGAAACAATCGTGCCCCCCCCCCCCGTACTTCAATCAATGCCACGCCTGCCAGCAGGCACGTACGCAGCGTCGATGGATGTGCACAGCCATACATACACACGTGCCTCGCGGGCCGCTTTCTCAAACCCCCTGAGCTTCCAGGGCACTTACGCGGGCCCTGGGGGTAGATTCATCAAGCTGGTACGGAAAATATTTTGCGTAAATCTTGTGTACGCAATCGACGTTGCTTAGTTGCGATCATCAACACAGCTATTTAGTAAATTGCGTACGATTCGCGTACGCAAGCGAGGCCGTTTAGTGCGAATTCATCAAGCTAAAATTACGGTGAAACTATTGCGCTAAGTAACTCTACACGAGCTGACGAGGGTGCCGTAAAACCACTCGAAATTTCCGCAGGTGTCCAAGCATTATCCGAGATCACTTATTTTATTGAGAAACATCTATAAAAATTATACTCAACTAAAAATAAATAAATAATTACCAGTACACACGCTTTGACGCGTTTTTGTCATAGCTCTGGCATTGTTTCGTTTATTAGCGAGTTCGTAGTTAGCCGTTGATCGATGCACCACACACGGTACTGCACACGCACACACGCCCGTGTACGTACACACGCAGCACGCACGCTACGTGATACTGCACACGCAACGCACGCCCCGTGTATCGTACACAACGACGCACGCACGCACGTGTAGTGCACAGCACGCCCGTTGTCGATACACCGCACGCGCGCACCCACGGTACGAGTGCACACGCACGTACGTACGTGCACCACACACGCACGGCACTAGCAAGATGCACGCACGCCAACGCACGCACGCACGCACGCGCGCCGCATGTACGTCACAACGCCACGCACGCAAGTGTACGTGCACAGCACGCACGTGTACGTGCACACGACGCGCACGTGCACATGACGCACGCACACACGTGTAAGTGCACACGCACGCACGACGTGTATGTCACACACGCCACGACCACGTGTATACGTGAAACGACGCACGCACGTTACGTGACACGCACGCACGCCGTGTACGTGACACGCACGCACGTGACGTGACACGCACAATCACGCTACGCACGCAGCGTTATCGTAACACACGCACGCACGCACGACGTGTACGTTACACGCACAGCACGGCACGCACGTGTACGTGCACAGTATGCACGCCGGTACGTACACACGCACGCACGTCACGTACGTGATACGTGCACCACCACGCACGCACGTGCACATGCAACGTCGCGCCCGCTGTACGCTGCACACGCACGCACGCACGCCCGGTGTAACGGCATGCAAACGCACGCACGCACGCACGCACGCACCCACAGACGGTGCACATGCAGGACGCACGCACGCGCGGTACGTGCACACGCACGCCGCAGTGTTTACGTGCACACGCACGCACTGTGTACGTTACACGCACGCACGCCGTGTACGTTACACCACGACAACGAACGCACGCACGGCACGTGTTACGTACAAAGCGCACGCACGAATGTGTACGTAGCCACTCACCGCACGTCGTACTACTGCACAACAGCAACAACAAAGCACACGTGCACAATGCACGCACGCACGCACCCACGTGTAACGTGCACGCGCACACACTCACGCACGTGTACGTACACACGCACCACGCACCGCTGTACGGGTGCTGCTTTAATGTGTGTGTTGAACGCAAATCATTACAACGGCGGAAAAATTGAGGACACGTATCACATGCCCCCAGCACTCATGTAGACAGACGGACGCTAGAACGAGGCCATATGGTTTAAATACCAGAGCGGGGCGTCTGTTCTTCTTCAAGAGTTAGATAATTAACTACGAGTGTTAATGATATCTACTTTGGTCATGCGTATGGTCGCACAGTTTGATTGGTTTATGTAGGCACACCCCTCCACAGCCAGCTGCTACGACGCGTAGGGGATTTAAACACTTGCGATTGCATCAAACATTGCGTACGTTAGGGACCTACGATGCGTTGATGAATCGCACCTACGGGCTTTGCTACGTTACTTCGGTAGAACCCTATTGCTTGTAACGCAATCGACTTGACCAACTTGCATGGAAATCCGGCCCAGGTGGACCCCAGCCGCAAGAGACTTCGCCGTATAAACAATCGATCCTCCTCGGCTCGTACAGGCAGACACTCCACAGTGTCTTGGCGCTGTATTTGCACTTGTATTTGTACTTGCACGTTGTATATGCACTGGTCTGCACATTTGTTTCCGCTAGCCGTGAAATACAAATGTTTCATGTGCGTGGCAGCCGTAGTACTACATTTAGAACGGCGTGTGTGTGTGATAAAATTAAATAATCCACCCGAACCCCCCCCCCTCGCACATTACTAATTGATGGCCAGGAAACTACAGGATTGTGTTCAAATATTATGTTGGCATCTCTGCAAACGAGCAATTTTATAGTAAAATAAAGTCGACACTTGACAAAAATGTAAACCTAAAAAGTTTCCACTACAAAAAAGAGTGTGTAATGCTTGAAAGCATGTTTAAAAATGAACATTGTAAAAGAAAAATACAGTAAACAAACGAATGCGGAAGTTATGTTATACAAATTAATTATTTATTTTTAGTTTATTAAACAGAGTTAAATTTGAGTTTTCGACAATTCCGGATTCTCGGGTGGTCCGGATTTCTGGCATCTGGATTTTTGGACTTCTAATGTAGTTAGCGAGATAGGTCCATATGAATCGTTTAGAACGTAGAATGCGTGTTGACCTGTAATATTGCATCGTCCACGTTACGTAGTTAGCGGGATAGGTTCATTAATCGTTTAGAATGTATGATAACTTTAGGTATTGCATTGTCCATTAGAATGCATGGTAACCGTGTGCAGTCACATAGCCAGACCACTACGTCACATCACTGCTCCAACTCACGCGTATCTAACCATGATGACAAGTATCTAGAACAAGAATGCTTTATAGCAATGTTAAGACAATCGGATCCACATCACCACAAAAGATCGTAATCGTTCATTGTCGTAATGCAAGTTGGTGAATGAGCATATCAGTGACGTGTTTCCTACATTATGAAGTAATGCTTTCCTGGCCATACCTGTGATTCCCATGCCTTTCTATTTCAGGATGTAATATTTTAAATAGGACGCATGCATTTCGTGTATGTATGTTTTTATCTATTATGCCCTTATTTCTTATTGGCCACACCTGTGATTTTCACGTGTACGATCGTTAAGACGCAATGCGTGTATTATGTGCATGTATTAACATGCAAAACATGCAATTGCCACGCTTACATTTGTTAAGACGTAATACATGTATTATGTGCATGTATTAACATGCAAAACATGCAATTGCCACGCTTACGTTTGTTAAGACGTAATACATGTATTATGTGCATCTATTCACATGCAAAACCTCTATGTATAGAGTTATCATTTGTCTCTCTTTCTCTCACTGTACATATGTCCCCCTCTCTTTCTCCCCTTGTCTCTCTCTCTCTCTCACTCATACTTATATATAGTAGTATAATATATATATTAATAATATATATATCGGATATATATATATAAATAAAGTCTGTTGTGTATTTATCAGTTTGTTTCTACGTGAATGAGAATGATGAAATGAGCTGCATTTCACAATTGTCTATTTGAAATGTTACGGAGCACACGCCAACACCGGAGTGCTTACCCGCTCAGCTTTTGAGAATAATTGCAAGATATCTTCTGGCGGCCATATGGCGGCCAGCGGCACAGTGTCATTGCTTTCTCACCGACCGTGGATTGGCTAACTGCTATCCACTTAGTATATAGAGATCAGCGGTCACGAGCCAACACCAGCAACGCCCGTCCGTACGTCTGTCCACGCGTCGCTGTGCAGTGTTTAGGCTTTGCGTGTAGCTTCATATAGAATATCGTATATGAATCCTAATGTATAATGTATATCTATATTCATGTAGGATCATCTTGTCTGCTACTTTGCCGGCGCGCTCGGCCTCGGTTGGCAGTACGGCCTCGGCATTGACGATGAGCTGCTGGACATGGCGCAGGAGCTAATGCACACCTGCTACCAGATGTACGCGCAGATGCCAACGTTCCTCTCACCCGAGATCGCGCACTTCAACATGCTGCCCGGCTCCAAGGACGACATCTTCGTTAAGGTAACGGTCGAGCAACGGCGGTGTCGCTAGAACGATCGTAGGGTTACTGGCTAGAGTTAGGGCTACGGTAGAAGCTAGCATTTAAACAGTTGCTAGAATGATCGTAGGGTTACGGCCTAGAGCTGGGGTACGGTAGAAGCTAGCCACAAGTTCCCTTCTCGCTTAACACTACGTTGGCGAGAGGTACGTCGTTTCCTACGACGTGTAACAGTCGGAGAGCCTGGTCGGGCTAGGTAGAAGCTAGCATTTAAACAGTGCTGCCAGTAAATAGATGTAGATAGAAAAGTAAATAGAATTAAGCTGCCAAGCCGACGCCAGTAAATAGAATAGGTAATGGCCGAGCATCGGCGGTGTCGCTAGAAATGGGTTACAGCTCGTCAGTCCGAAGGGTCACTGGTCCGAAGGTTCACTAGTCTGGAGGCCCACTAGTCCAAAGGCTCACTAGTCCGAAGGGAAAACTAAACATTTTCACTGATTTTATTTAGCAAATTGTGTGCTGATTGATGGCGCCACGTCATGGTTTGTAGCAGGAGAGTGGAGAGATAAATGTCATAAACATCATGCTGCAGATGGCCATGCAGATACACTGTCACATGGTTAGAACGCTGCTGTGTATTTTCAGAAAACTGAACAAATAAAATTTTCTAGAGCCAAAAATGTGCAAATTGTGTGAATTATGTTGTTTTATGGTGTACGAGGGGCGGTATTACGAGGCTAAATTACGTACAAATAGATACAAACGATCTGTACATTGGCATTTTTCTGACGATACCTGAGATTGGCAGTATTACGAGGGGCGGTATAATGAGGTTTTACCGTAGTCTACAATTTTGCCACACATCCACACACCTCCCCCCCCCCCAAACACACCTCCCCCTACATCCCTCTACTTCGGACTAGTGGACCTTCGGACTAGTGAACCTTCGGACTAGTGGGCCTTCGGACTAGTGGCCTTCGGACTAGCGGGCAGTCACCCACTTTGGTTTTCGGACTAGTGGGTCTTCGGACTAGGCCATCCTTAAAAAATTCTATGTTTGCTGTCCTCTGACCGACCCACAAAAATAGCCGCGACCCAAACGGTTTTTTTGACATTTTGGGTTCCATTTTTTTTTTTTTTACATTCCTTATAGTTAAGGCTGAAACACAAAGCATGTGTGGCGAACATGAGGACAGACTTAAAATAACTATTATGCCTCACAAAAAAGAGACCTACCTACCTACCCACTAAAAACATCATGGGTCGGGGGACAGCAAACGAATTTTTTAAGGATGGCCCTAGTGAACCTTCAGACTAGTGGGCCTTTGGATTAGCGGGCACTCACCGCTAGAATGATCGTGGGGTTTACGGCTAAACCTAGAGCTATGGTAAAAACTAGCATTTAAACAGTTGCTAGAATGACCGTAGCATTACGGCTAGAGTTATAGCTATGGTAGAAGCTAGCATTTAACCAGTGCTGCTAGTAAATAAAAGTACAGTATCTCGTCAGTAAATGGGTGAGGGGCAAACAGATGAGGAAAATTCGGAAAGAATGTGGAATATTTTTTCAAGGTCATCACTGATAGTTATTGTCAGCCTATCTAGAACAAATATAGGGTTACACCTAGAGCTATGGCTACGATAGAAGGTATCATTTTAATCATCATGCCAGTAAGCTAAGTCACGACAGGCAAACACTTTCTTTGTCATTGTGTTTTTACGTGCATAGGTATAATTCGTGTTTACACAGTCCAGCTTTTTCGTCATCTCTGCTAGCCGCGATGCTGAGGTTAAACATGTGGCAGGCATGGTAAAAATCTTTAAGGTGTTTGTGTGGCTGGAAGCTTCCTCCTTCTCCCTGTCCCTCTCCCTCTTCATCTCTTCCTCTAATCCTGTCAAGAATGCAGACAGCCAACACACGGAAATGATTATAATACTGATCTAAGGTTTCTCTCTCTCCTTCCCTCTCCCTCTCTCTCCCTCTTTCTCTTTCCCTCCCTCCCTCTCTCCCACTCCCTCTCTATCTCCCCCTCTCTCTCCCTCGCTTTCCCCTTTTTTTCCTCCCTTTCTCACATTATCTTTCCCTCTCTCTCTCTCACCCCCTAATCTCTTCATCTCTCTCTCCGAATCTCTCTCCCCCCTCTCTCTCACTCTCTTCTTCTCCCTTTCCCTTTCCCAATCTCTCTCTCCCCTCCCCCTCTCTCACTCTCCCTTTCTCTCTCCCAATCTCTCTCATTCTCTCGTTCTCTCTCAGACTGCCGACGCTCACAACCTGCTGAGGCCGGAGACGATCGAGTCGCTCTACATTCTCTACCAGCTCACCGGTGCGCGCAAGTACCAGGACATGGGCTGGCGCATCTTCACGGCGTTCGAGAAGCACGCGCGGCTCGACGGTCAGGGCTACACGTCGCTCAGCAACGTGAAGAACGCCGACCAGCCCGGCTGGCGCGACTCGATGGAGTCGTTCTTCCTCGGCGAGACGCTCAAGTACTTCTACCTGCTCTTCGACGACAACCCGCGCCTCGTCGACCTGCGCACGTGGGTGTTCAACACCGAGGCGCACCCGCTGCCGCTCGTCGGCTCCTGATAGCGTGCGCGCACGCGGGAGGTGGAGGGTCGCTGGATCACGGCAGGGTCCCAAAGTCGCGAGAGGGTTGCGGGGTTACAGGATGGTCGAAGGGTCGCAGGGTCAGGACAGGGTCACGACAGGGTCGCGGAATGATGTGATGGTTGTGGGAAGGTCAGCAAGGATGGTGAGTCACAGAGGGCCAGGCAAGGTCACGGAGGCGCGTAGGAGGTCACAGAGGGCTGTGAGAGGTCACAGTGGGCAGTGAGAGGTTACATAGCATAAAGGAAGGTCGCACGGATTTTACGCTTGAGATTTTCACGGTGTCTCTTGAGTCAGATGCTGGCTGCACATGAAGATGGGGTTGAGGGTGGTGTACCTTCAGTAAGTGCATTTACTTTGAGTTGTTTTTCATGTGCATTGCATCTGGAGTTATTTATCTGAAGCATCAATTTTCGGTCATGTATTTTGCCCCTGAAAATGGTTTCTTTCGTCACGTCTCCACATGTTCAATCATGCAGTTGTTTGGCTCTCATCAAGGTCTTCTGGTTACTATGATCATATTGGCTCAGTGATTAATAAGGGGTGCACGGCCCGGTCTGATTTGCTACCCCTTGTACATTGTTTTCCAATATGCCATTGGTTATGAAATGCCTTCCTTGCAGGAATGATGATTTTCCAGAACATATGCTCAATCGTTGTGAATATATAGTTTTGTACCATGTCATTCTCTTGCAGGAATGTATTTCTTCTGTCATGAGTAATTCTTTGTACGTATGTAGGGAGCACATAATTTGTATCGAAACGCATATTTTAGCAATGATTGCGATTATTATTATCAATATATTGGTGCAAATACTCAAGGATCTACATTTAGGTTCGTCTGTTGTTAACACAGCCAGGAGCTGTTTGTCCGGTGTTTTGTAAGCACTTCAAATATGACATTGGAGTCTCATGATATTGAATGAATAAGAAGAAATCTTTGAAATTATCGTAATTCTCGATTATAAGTCAACCCCGAAATTCATACAATCGTTACTTAATAGGCAGGAATTGCTCTAGGTGCCCAACCCCAACCAGACTCTTGCTGACCCGTTTTATTTTTAGATATGCATTGCAAAGTTTGTCTAAATTACGTGCGATTAGCAACTGGGTGGTAGAGAGTGCAAAATTCTATGTTGTAGAAACTCATGCGGAACTAATATAATTATTTAAAGGTGAAGGTATTTTATCTGCGTGCATCCATAGCTATATTAATATAATGTTGCGGTCATTACTGTTGGCTTCATACTTTACATTTCTGACCCGTCTGCAGTAAGACCAGTCACTTATAAACGTATTCTCATATATACGTATGTACGTGAACGTGTACGTGACGTATCACACGTAATGTACGTGTGTCCATTGTTCTTCCATCTCCACTGACCGTAACCACTATTTAACTGACAGTCATCGAAGGGTATATACATACATCTGTATATCTATCTCTCTTTTTCTCTCTCTAAATATATATATATATATATATATATGCATGCAGCTCATCATTTTTATAAAACCATCTGTGATCATGATTTATCTGTATTGTAATAACTATTTGTTCAGTGTATGATCTGTTTATTATATCACGCGGGGATAGTGTTGTATGTATGTAAATAATCACATTTCTGTCCCTGGTTTCTATCTTGCGTACAACGTACGCACGGTAAAACTATGGAGGATAGGTGTAATAAATAGTTGTTATATGATTCACATATACATGATGACGTGCATGTATCTACATATAGGTCTGCTGTAACCAAAACTTCATATATCAGAAGATTATTTTTGGATTTTTTTAATCTAATATAGTTTCCTAGATTTTCTCCTATTTATTTTTAGCTGTTATCTTATGTTACTGAGATTTGCATTTCTACGCTTACGTTGACAACGCGTCTAGCAATGTACGTCGTGCACGTGCGTGCGTGGTGAAGCGAATGCCTGGCTACATAAGTAGAGATATCTACTAGCTGCTTTTGGGTTGAATAGTAGTTGCTAACTTTTGTAAAAACCCTTTCTGCCTACTACGCAGTAAAGCATAGAGAATGTTTGCTAAGGTATAGGTGAAAAATTTAATACATTATTTTAGTAGTATCATTAATTAATTGGAATGGGAATGAAACATAATATTGCATAGGTGTATGTGAGAATTGTGGTGGTGACATGATCGCCGAGTTACTGGCCTGGTTAGCTGCGTGAACCCATCCATGTAAGTGCATACCAATATTGACTTTCAGGGCCAGCAGGAGTGGAATCGTAAACCTGACACTGGTTTGCACCACATTATCGCGTCCTACGTGATACAATGCATAAATTTACACATAATCTGACCGATAAGAAATTAATACAAAGTGTTTATTCAGCCTCAATATATATATATATGTATACGAGTCGATACTTGCAAGTCAGCCCCATAGTATACGGCGTGCGAGCTGAGCGGACGTTTTCATCACCAAGTATTGATTGGAGAGGTTGACTTTCTCAAGCGATATAAAAACCACTACAGTGTCAATATGAGCGCGTTTGAAGACTACCACCAAGTCTGCAATTACTATGACGAATTCAGGTACGAATTGTGTAATGATACAGATAGCATGACTAATTAAAAAGAAGACGTGTTAAGTATTCGCGGACGCATAAAAAAATTTTCCAGACGAGACGGCGGCGAGAATCGCAGCTGTGCTTGTCGACAATTATAAATAAGTTATGTACGAGCGTCATACGTATCCAACATACGTATAAAACGTATCCGTAAACGTGTTTTCCTCCTGTGTGCGGCGTGCTCATACTTTGCGTTGTGTGGTATTGTCATGCATTGCGTTGCGCACATGTTGTTACGACGCGTTGCGTTACTCTACGTTGCGCTATGGTACGACGCGTTGTGTTGCGTTACGCTACGTTGCATCGTGTTACGACGCGTTGTGTTGCGTTACGCTACGTTGCGTCATGTTACGACGCGTTGCGTTGCGTTACGCTACGCTGCGCTATGTTACGACGCGCTGCGCTATGATACGACGCGTTGCGTTGCGTTGCGCACATGTTGTTACGACGTGTAACGTTGCATTACGCTACGTTGCGCCATGTTACGACACGTTGCGTTACGTGGCAGCTGGCGAGATGGGATGCAGCGGCGCTCTCTATTGTGTCAGCAATACTGGGTGAGGGCGTGCGCGGGACATTTTTAGCTCACCTTGACATCGTCAAGCTGAGCTAATGCCATGGGTCGTCGTCCGTCGTACGTCCGTGCGTGCGTCCGTCCGCCCGTCCGTCAACATTTTGCTACGGTCAACAATAACTCAGGAACCGTTTGACCCACATGTTTGAAATTGGGTATAGTTGTTACTGCTATGCTCCCATATTAAACGTCCTATTTTGGAGCACGCCAGTCGACGTACTTTCGAGCCACGGCAATTTTTTGCCAAAAATGGGAATTGCCATTAGTCAGTTGAGGCTCAGCGGATTTTGCTCATTTTTGGTATGTGAATGAATAAGGGCTAGGGGTTTTGATATTAAAAAAAAAAATAATGCAAATTATGTAGGGTTTGGCAATTATATAGCATATTATATAGATACGCAGATAACAAACAGTCTGTGGTGTCACACTCGTCTGGTTCGTTTTACAAGATTTCATTGACAATATCTTTAATGCAAAATTCCTGCTATGAACATTATGATTTATACTATTATTATTATATTATTATTATTATGATATAATGATTTATGCTAAGAAACATCAAAGCGGGTATAGCGCCATCTACCGTCACAAATTGTGATTCATTTTGGTTTATAAATCTATATATAAAGTTGTTCAGCCGAATTTGTGTGTTCGCGCATAACTAGAGAACTCCGCAGCCTAGAGGAAAACTAAATATATTTTTAGAATCAGCACGTCAAAAAAGTTAAAAATTTATAAGTTAAAAAGTTAAAAATTTATAAAAATTCTATTCATCAATAGATGGCGTACAGATTAACATTATACATCACATACGTGTGAATCCATTGTGTATCACCATAACGTCCCAGTAGCCAAATGGATAAGGCATCGGACTCCTAAACCATTGATTTTCCGTTCGATTCCGACCTGGGGAAATTCTTTGTTTCTTTACTTTTGGACTGTTTATAAGTACTTCTGCCGTATTAACCGTTAATTTCAAAATTTTAATTTTTTTACCACATTTAAACGTTTATTAAAAATCTAGAATAAACTATGGTAGATGATAATGATAGCGCAAACTGACGGGAACACTTCACAGAAGCCTATGTAGCTTACTTGCTTCTCGAACGCCGTGAAGATGCGCCAGCCCATGTCCTGGTACTATATAATTTCATTTTATTATTTATAATTTTTGACTTTTTTATTTTAATGACATCTTTTCATTTTTTATTATTTTTTACTGTTGGGATGGGATGGCATGCGATGGGATGGGATGGCATGGCATGGCATGGGATAGGATGGGATGGCATGGCATGGCCTGGGATGCGATGAGATGGCATGCGATGGGATGGGATGGCATGGCATGGCCTGGGATGCGATGAGATGGCATGCGATGGGATGGGATGGCATGGCATGGCCTGGGATGCGATGAGATGGCATGCGATGGGATGGGATGGCATGGAATGCGATGGATGGATGCATGCATGGATGGATGCATGGATAGATAGATGGTTCGATTTTTTGGGTATTTTCCTTTCAACCAAGCGGTCACCAACTGAGTAACGCCACTGATTTCCCCGGGCAACGCCGGGTATCCCGCTAGTTATTTATAATTTATATATGTTATTATTTATTATTTTTACATAAAAAATTACACATAATTATCAAGAGTATATAATGGGAGTTCTCCCATATATACTCTTCGTTTCTATAATGTACGTCGATGGTTGCTGAATTAAAACTGACTTCTTCTCACTCACTCATTTGTGTCCTTTTTTGTGGTGAGCTACAGTGTCATTGACACTTTCATTATGTTTAGCTTCGTGCGTTGAGTATCACACGTGCGAAATCCATCCGCAACACCGCCGCAACACAGCCGTAAAGCCTAGCGCAGACATGCGATTTTTGGTTGCTCGTCGCTGCAACCTAGCTGTAACTGCATGGTGCGGTTGGCTGCCACTGAACTTGGCGCATATCTATCTAGATCAATTTACCTAGACCTACCTACGTACTGATATAATTGTCGGTCAATATATAATAGTATTTTCATTAAAAAAAACAGACGACCCACGCCATATCGCCTGTGCTGGCCGCACCAGAAAACCCCGGTTACTAACCGTAATTGTAACGCACGTACGCACGCACAGACACACATGCGCACACACGCGCGCGCTTGCGCGCACGCATAAGCGTATCGCATTTACTCGTGTAAATGTTGAACCCCAAGTATTGCCAAAATTAGTATGAAAAAATATACATGAAATATGTATTGGTATTGAATATTTGTGTCACGTTGGGTAGTAGTTGATCAAACAAGTCGTTATATTGCAACACATTTATTGACAAAAGTAAATTATGAACATAATTATGGAACACTTTTAAAATGCGTTCTAACGTTCAGTTAAAATGTAGTGAGTTATTTACTTACGTTTTTACAGTGGTTTGTCACAAAAATGTGCGTGGGAAAACATCTTTAAGTTTAACCATTGCACTATTACATGTACCATGTACTATTACATGTAGAATATCAATATTAGGTTCAATTAAATTAAAAATTTGTATTACTTTATAGCCTACTATTTATTACATTATTTACAAAAACTCTTTAATTATATGTATCGTGTACAAAGGTTATACAACCTTATATGCATATCGGTCAGGTGCATGATAATATAGGTAGTTTCTATTAACTGGAGCGATGTAATGTTTGTCAAGATAAGCCTATAGGTGTTCTTTGCCCCGTGTGTAAGCCGCATACAACTTTTTATATTGAATTTATGTACAAAAATGTGCGCTCATACGCGAGTAAATACGGTGGTATATACGGTATAACGTTTACTACGCTAACATACACTGACCTATAGTACACCGGTGACTGTTGCAGGCATCCAGTAGGGGCGGAGACTGAGCTGAGAGCATTTTGTAGACTGGGAAAGCATTTAAAAGACGTCCATGTCGCAGACATTGGTAAGCAAGCTGGAAAGATTTTGCAAAAGAACAGATTTTGCAAAGAGTATTGAGTGAGGAAGGGGTTCGAGAGAAAGAGGGGGGGGAAGAAAGAGACTACGTAGGGTAGAGATTACTCTTTATAGTCACGTTACCCTCTTGCAATGGCAGTCTGAGCATCAGCGCCATT